CCACTGCGGGTATCGAAACTCGATTTTTAGAGTTATAAATTTTTCAGACTTACCGCTGAGCCACTTGGAGCCACAAGTAAATGACGCCACAAAATTGTTTTTATATAATGTTCCGTAATTAACATAGTCGTATTCCATTCACTATTGTTTTATTGATAATATATATTGTTACTAACTGCAACAAAACATTTCTCATTTCAATCAATGTATAATGTAAATTGAATTTCAAAATTTAAATTAATTTCATTCTAGCGATTTAACTAGTTTATAATAATTCATCTATTTATAATTTCTTTGTTTCAGTGCAATGCTACACAATGGCTTATCTATAATTTCGAATAAAAATATAAAAATTACAACAAAAACAACACCTGATTTCGAAAGTTGTATTATTTGTAGATTACAATATTACCTTAAATAAAAGCATGAAAGATCTAACTATTTGAAAATTTATTTAAACTGCAAAACGTTAATAAATCGAAAAATAAATTCAACATCTTAATGGTTCATCTTAATCATATTATTTTTTTGTGGTTTAGTGAAATTTAAACATTTTTTCTTCATGCTATTTTAGTTTTAAGCACAAAGCTAACCAATGGGCTATCTGTGCTCTACCCACCTCGGGTGGCGGAAACTAATTTTTAGCGTTGTATGCCCTCAGACTTACCGCTGAGCCACTGCAGGATTTTTTCTTCATTTAGTTCATGTTTAGACATTTCAAGTTGTTAATAAAAGTAATGAATTTCAACATACCAGCCTCTTCATCAATATCACAAATTATAAATGGTTATTATATATTCCCAGTGGATCATATTCTGTATTCCCAGGTTTTGATTATTTGTGGTGGGCAGAGTGTAGATAGCCAATTGTGCCGCTTTGTGGCCAAAAACAAGCAAATTTAATATATGTATATGTGTGTGTGTGTGTTTAAAATTTTAAGACTTTACCTACCTTTATAAGAGCTTTTATATTTATGTGCGATAATGGTGTTAATACACGCATGAAAATAGTGCCAAAATTTTTAAACGACCTTAATAAAAGCTAAAAATATTTATCGAAAATTTCAAGGAAAACATTTTTATTCCTTGCTTCTTAATATTTGTTTAATAGATTTTGTATTTATTTAATGTTTCATTATTAAATACATTAAATATTCATTTATGTATCAATATTTCAACATTAATAATGAAATGTTGTTATTTATTACAAATTTTACAGAATCTGAGCAATTGTAAAGTTATGATACTTATTACAGAAGAATATGGCATATTAATATTAGGAGAGGGTAGGCTAGATATTGGAAAATAATTTTTTCCTTTATCAAACACACTTAAATTAATATCATTATTAATTATATCAGTTTATACATTTAAAGAATGTGCTTCTACTTCAAAAATTTGTTTTTTAATATTCAATTCTACCAGATAAATAGTGTTAATAAAATTATTTATCTCATCATTAATTAAACTGATTAAATCCTCTATATATCTATAAGTTAAGGCAAAAATGCCCATTTTTATGACATTTCCTATAAACTTAATTTCATAAAAAATAAATATGTAAATTAGCTATACAAGTAGAATAGTTAGCTCTGATTGGAACTCTTATTACTTGTTTAAATACCTGATTATATAATTATTATAAATACAAAAACATAATATATCCTATATTTTTTGGAATTAAAATTTTTTCCTTTAAGTACTACTGAAGAACTACAGTATTGTTCTATTAATAAATCAATTATTGGAATTAAGTTTTTCAATGGCATTGTCGTATAGAGAGTGGTAAAATTAAATGTTTGAATGGTTTTAACTTGTTCACTATTATTTAAGTATTCTAAAATGGGTTGATTATTTTTATTATCCAGAAAGTGTGTTTATTGTTATTATTATTATTTGTATTTTTAACGTTATCAAATAAAATATTAACTATTTTATTTAATAAAATGGCTGATTGTTTAATAATTTTTTCACTGAACTGGAAATAAATCTTAATTTTATTGGAGATTTAGGAATTTAGGAATAGCATAGAGGAAAGGTAAATATAAAAAAGAATTTGATTTAGAATGAAGTTTTTTATAAGCTTTAATGAAATTGTTAATTACTATATCCTTAGATGGTTATGAAGTTTAAATGTTTCTGTACAATTAATTCCATTTATCATGGATGTTGCATAGGATGTTTTACAAAGAAACTAAAAATTACACTTAGCTAGATTATGGGAACAACGACATTTGTTTCTTGCAATTCTCGGATTTTACTTCTTAATTGATAAAATGTTATATCTATAGGGAATCCACTTAAATTTATACGAGATAATTTAAATCTTATTTCATTAAGACCCTAAAACGTTCATTTTAAAAACCATCTAGGCGAATAAGATGTCATATAATAAGTTTCAAAATGTATTCACTAATTATTATTTTTAGTAGATTTTAGTATATTTTGCTTATTACATTTTGTGGCAGTTCTGTATTTAGATCCCTGTTTAAGAATTTCACACAATGGCTTATCTCTTACACTTCCTAAGTTACCAGTAATATTATGTTTATGAAAAGTACTAATACATATACTGTTTTTACATTCAGGGTAAATTATTTACCTGAATTACATGTCAATTAATTTTAAAAACTCTTATAATTATATAATAGTAGTCCAATCGGAATTTCTTATTTATAGCTAACAGTTGGCTTCAAGTTTTCAAGTTTTAAATTTTTAATTACATTAATTGATGCCCTTATTTAAGGAAGATTAAGTTGAAAAATATTTCTAAAAGTCATTTACATATATTAGAGTTAAAATAAGAATCATTATCTAAATATTTACAGAATTCTAGAAAAGCAATCAATTTTATTTTGTTTTCCCTTCACCTCTTATTTTCTTCTTTTTATGAGAAAAACTATTTAAAAAGAAAAAATAGTAATACAGTAATCATTACTCAAATTGAAAGCAGTAGATTATTACAATCTCGATTTAATCTATAAGGATATAATGTTTTAAGTTTCAAAATGTAGAAGTTCTCGCGTTAGAGCCTATTAAAGTTTTCATTAACAATCTCTAATACAGTTATTTTAACAAAAGTAAAAGGATGACCCTTGAAATGGTTTAATTCTATACAATTCATTAAATTGTATTACTTTAAGGTCTATGTACATTGAATACAAGTTAATAGATGAACTACAATATATATTTTGCAATAGGAATTTGTATATACTCTTGCGTATCTGCTCGTTTGTTAATTTCCGGTATAAATTATTTCCGAGAAACTTAAGCAATACAAGTCCTTTCTTAATTAAAACTAGTTTATTCTTTCTTGATACAACTTTTTAGTACAAAGAATTTCCACCGTCACTTTAAACTTAACAACCTTTACAACACGCGCTATAAATCACAGTGATTCACACTCTTTACTTACGGTGCCTACTGTTCGCTTGACTCAATTATCCATCTCTTCAATCTATCTGCATATCTCTCTATCGCTGGCTTTATTTGCTTATATACTAAAAAAGAGGGCGCCTGGCAAACACTCGGACATTCGCGGGGTTCCTCGATAAGTCATGATACTTATGGACACTCCAGCGTGCATGCTCCAGCGTCGCGTGACTTCCGCTGTCGTAACAATACTATAGGATCAAAAGAATTAAGAGCAGGAGACATATTTTGCTATTACATAGTTACAATAATTAGCTTGCTAGGCTAAATTACAGTTTGCAAAATTTGTCTATTTTTTAAGTACTAGCCTATAGCTCGTAAAAAATGACGGGGCCAGTACTATCACCCCACCCTGCCCCATAGTATTCCTAACCTTACATTTCATAGCTAACTGAAATAAATAAATTTTGCGAAATAAAGCTTGACCAACAAAGAAGCAGAAAAGTGCAGTCGAGGTAGACAAACGTCGGTGAATTCCTTTGTGAGCCAATCAAAGTAAGACCATTCACGAAATGAATTCGAGGCGTATTCACAGAATAATTATTGTTAAAAATCAGTTAGATTAACAACATCTAATATATAGAAAAGTAATTGCATTTTGGTAACACTACGTTCCAACAATGGCTTTTATGTCGTGTTGCTCAGCAACAAAAGTATAATTTAATATTGTCGTTAGCCTATGTACTAAAAGTACAAAATAATAGTTATAGGCAACAAAACTGGGAAATATTTGTTGATTTCTTAATTTAGAGTCTCTTAAAGAGGTTTATTTTGTATTATTTTTTTTTCATTAAAAACGTTGGTGATATAAGAGAAAATAGCTTAAATCAGAAACGATTTATGTTCAAAATTGAATCGATATTTTTACTTTCATGATAGATTTTATACACTTGACTCTAGTCTAGGTGATCCCACACTTCGTCTTTACTTTAGGCTTATTATGCCAACACTCACTATACTTATAAGGTTTCACGGCACCACCACCCCTCACGGCCCCTTGCACCCCCGGCACTAAAATCGTAATGTTCAGACAGTAATTGAACTATTCTATCTAGATGAATGCATTTTGGCTTTTATGACTTCTTCTATTTTGAGAAATCAAGAGAATTCAAGCGTGACGTGACTTGACTTTACACACACTGGCTTTTATGTAGGTTAGATGTTTTAGTAGTAAAAAGCAATAACACCTAACTGCAATAAACACAAAGACTGAACAATGTAATGGAAATGTGCGACATTGTCATCAACAAATTACATTCATTGAAATATATGTATATATAAAAATATTATTTCAACAGTTAACTAGATATTGACATCCAGTTTTCACAAGGACTTTTAGTAAATGTTTATTACATGAAGAGTAAATGCACTAATTCTGATCTTCCAGTGCTGGTTAGTTAATATATGGTTGAGCAGAAACAAAATTATATATTTTAAACTGCTTATCACAGTAGTCACTTCCGAGAAAAGAATTCAGTGCCTTCGATGTACAACTATATACTGTGAAATCAAAATATATTTTCTTACTTATAAACCCATATGATTAATTCAGTGAGTGTGTTACTTTAGGTTTCATGGATACGCAGAAATGATTTCCACGTGCTCTCAGTTGGTCAAGTTACTTACACAGCAGAAAAGGGGTTCAAAATGATACACGTCAAAGATTCAAATGACTGGATTTTGCAGATTGAATTAGTTAAACCGGGAGACACTGGATTTTATGAATGTCAAGTCAATACTCATCCCATGATTAGTTATTTTGTCTATTTGACTGTTCTCGGTAAGTGTTTCAAATATTTTATTTCTTACAGAATATCGTGCATAGCTACATTAGGAATAAAAATCGTCCGTAATTTTGAATTGATATACTAGAGGGAATGCATCTTGTCAACAACACCCACCGCCATTTCTTGAGCTTTTTTGTCTATTCAAATAATGGAATTCGACTGTCACTCATAGAGCGCATTTCTGCGACGGCGACAAACAATGAATCCTGGAATCCATAGCCCTGTTAGGCAAACCATTACACCACATCCGTCCCATTAATAAAGTATACACCATCACCAAGTAATCGAACTCGTATAAAATATTTTTATTATTACTCTTCACTAAAATCAAGAAGTTAACATACACATGGTTTAATACAACTTATTTATCAACTCAAAATCGAATTATTTTGAAAGGGTGTTGAGTGTAAATAATATTTAACTGATATTAAAGAAAGTTTTGTTAATTGTGAAAGTGTATTTCAATTTATTGTGTCTATGATCGAATCTTCGTAAGCCGGTACTATCCTAAATAAATATATTAGTCCTTGAAAAAAGCATAGCTTATGCGTTTACTTCTGTCGAATTTTCTCCTCAATTATTACATTTAGAGGTGAATATATTTGTATTTTTGCTTCTTAATTTTTGGCCTGTCATTTGCCTGTGGTTAGAATGTTCGACTCCCAATCTGTGAGTCGCAGTTTCAAATCTAGTCGCCCAACATGTCCTTCTTTTCAGCCATGGTGACATTAAAATGTGAGGATCAATCCCACATTTCGCTAGTAAAGAGTAGCCTAAGAATTTGCGGTGTTGACTATCTACCTTCTCTCTAGTCTATCGCTTTTAAATTAAGGGACAGTTAGCGCAGATAACATCTCGGATAGTTTTGTGCGAAATTCAACAAAATAAATATTTCTAAATTTCACTTGCTGATTTTATCTGTTCCTATACCCAAACAACATTATTTCAACTACATAAAATATAACAATTATTTTTTTTGCTATTTTTAATTACGAATAATTTAATTTTAATTTCTAGGTATGATCATTTAAGCCTATAACTCATTAAAACATGGTCGAATGACAGATATTAAGCTTAAATAACACAAGTCTACCTAGAGGTGGATGATAAAGTTTTAGGGAAAAAATTTTGTCTTTCATCTTCTCTTTTTTTAGTAGTTCATGTTAGTTTGAATATTTAGATAACGTACTAATGGAATTATTTACATTTTTCAATAAATAACCACTAATAACATAATTTAGCCAGAGATAATAGTTTCTGTTGGTTTCTCAATATAGAAGATTTCTTATGAAATTTTAATATAAATTTTTACCAGATACTTCTTAATACACCAAACGAAATGGTCTGTTTATAGTGCCATCTCAAAACTACGTAATATTACAGACATCTTTAATTGAATATATAGATTTCTGCGAATCGTTCATGACTTTAGTTTGTTGTTTTCTTTTTCAGTTCCTGAGGCTACAATTGCTGGAGCTCCAGACTTGCACTTCGACAGTGGCAGTACTATCAACCTAACTTGCATCATCAAACACAGCCCTTCACCACCAGTCTTCGTTTTCTGGTACCATGGCAACAATCTAATTAATTATGACTCCTCTCGCGGCCAAACGACACTTCAAAAGGTAAACGGAGACACTGCAGTCAGCTCCCTCTACATAAAAAACGCCAAGACTAAAGATTCGGGAAACTACACGTGCGGCCCATCCAATGCAGATAGCACAAGCATCAGCGTGCACGTTTTGAACGGTAAATGCACTGAATACTAGCAGACTTCCCAAATAACACCAGCTTTTAGTAATTATATGATTTTAATAATAAATGCATAAATGGCTAATTTAGTCATATTCATATATAAATCTGGTGACATTATATGCGATTCAGTAATTCTAATCGAATAATGGAGGTGCTGTTAATATTTACATATCCACATCAAGAACTACGTTTCCAAGTCCAATTTCATACTTTCTCTATAGTTACTGATGGATCTTTAAAGGAAAAAGTTTCTAAGATGAAAATTGAACAAACACGATTTTCAATGAATGAACGTCAAAAACAGTTTTAAGGGCCCTATTTGAAATTGTAGCATATTCACTTTGGACAAACAAGGGGTTAAATATTATTTGTTGTTAATGCAGAAAACCTAATTAGGTTTGTATGACTTTCTAGAATATATGTATAGATATGTCTAAATAAAATATTTCAGATCTGTATTTGATAAATATTATGGGTGCGTATCTTATCACAGTAGTCGATACGATACGTATCTAGATACAAAAGTTTGACCAAGGGTTTGTTGCGAAGTTTGACAGTCTTGTATGTAATTTATTATCTGTATTACTAACATTGTCTTATTGACAGTGCTTTTTCGAATTCTCAGGCTTGATCAACTAAATGTCAGCTGGCAAGAGAAGTAAAATAAAAAAGTTAATATCTGTCAATTTTGTTATTGTTAATTTGTTATGTTTCTTTTCATGTAATATTTTCGATAAAAGAAATTAAGACAACATGTAGTACTCAATACTCATCTTCCTTTATTGAATCATTAATTTTTAGTAAAAGTATTTTATTAGAAATTCTGATTTTTTTCGGTGCAAAAGACTTATAATGTTTACTGAAAACATGCCACATTTAGTGAAGATACATACATCGTATCGTATCGTATCAGACGATGTATCGATACAATCATATCACGGCTTCAAGATACGATACTCGCCACACCTTTAGTAAATATGGTAACGTCATTCATCCCGAGGAACTTCAGCGATACAAGTCCTTTCTTAAATAAAACTAGTTTATTCTTTCTCAATACAACTTTGCCATACACAGAATTTCCACAGTCCCTTTAATTTAAACACGCGCTATAAATCACAACGATTCACGCACTTTACTTACGGTCACTACCGCTCACTTGACTCAACTATCTGTCTCAATATCTGTCTATCTGCAATTATATCTCCGCTTTATTTACCGGGCTTATATACAAAAATAGAGGGCGTCTGGCAAACATTAGAGTTGCCAGGAACAGTCATGATCCTTCTAGAAACCCATGACGTGTTACCATGGTCACGTGGCTTCCGCTGTCGTAACAATATCATTAATACGTACAAAATCACAAACAATGTCAATATCTTAGGTGAGCGATCTTTTATTTATATGTAACCATGATTTTAACTTTGTAAGAATTACTAGGCATACATAAGTATGATAACATCTGAAGAATTACTAGACCTACATAAGTATGATAACATTTGAAAAATTACTAGACCTACATAAGTATGATAACATTTGAAGAATTACTATACCTACAGTACTATGATAACGTTTCAAATATTACTAGATTTACATAAGTTTGATAAAATTCCAAGCATTACTAGGCCTGTAGTATTATGGTATCATTTAAAGCATTACCAGCCATATATTAAACGTATTATGCTTGCTCAAGCATGTTACTTATTAAAGAATCACTAGACTGATATAAACATACGTGGACCTTTAGTAGAATTATGATGCTTCAACAGTTTTTCTCAGAATTAGTTTGTTTTGACACGAGATGTGTGTGCTACTTTTTCAACAAAATCGAATCACATATTGATCAGTTCAATATTATATACAACATATGTGTTTAGATCAGGGATTAAGAATTTCAAAGATGGGGATATCCATTGTATTTAATTGCATTGGAAAACAAAGAGCGGCATCTTGTAATGGATGAGAATTCACAAACACATAGCTCAGCCGAACAAGTCGCCCACGTATCCCATGGAATAGTAAGCAAAATATTCAAAAAAGGACCTCCGTCTGGAAACTAAGTCATCAGGGTATGAGTTCACCAGAATAAAGTTTCAAGTCATACCTCCTGTTCAACTCGCATACCTTAAGCACTTGGAAAATGAAACAGGTATTGAAGCTACTCCACACGAAACATGGCAGTTAATTCGTCAGAGGAAGTGACTATTTACTGTGCGATTGGACCGTTGAAGTGGAACTGGGAAACCGTCTTCTTCTTATACAAGATCGATTATTGAAAACATGCAGGGAGGAATACTGTGCTTGGGGCAGAGCAGCCTTACTGCTGAGTATTTTTCAATGCAAGCTACACTGCACGGTTATTGTTAGATAAACTGATAGAGCGTAATCAGACGTAGTAACTTGGAATGTAACGATGTGGTGATGCTCCAAAATCGTTTTAATATAACGTTTTCAACCTATGTATTAACATAAGTGGACTGAAATTACTTCTATAAAAACTTTTCAATTATAAGCATATTTTTCATTTCAACTTGGAGCTTGTCTTATTACTATCTTGCAATTAAAAAAAACAAATGCATTTTTTTATTATTTCTAATTTTGATGGATGAGAAAAACCTACAAAACTCTGCTTTTAACATAAGTAGTTTTTTTTTAGAACTATCAAGAACTTGAAAGGATTGATTAGTTATTAAGTGTTTGTGAACCATATAATCATATGAACTTATAATTAAAATGTATTCTTTATTTAAAGGGAAATTTATGTTTTTATTTTTGGTAAGCGAAAGCTAATTCAATGTGTTTATGACGTTTCACAATCAGTAATTTTAGGCCACAAAGTTCAATGACTGAAAAAGAGCTGTGAATGTTTATTTATAATGTTAGAGTACCGAACTAAAAGTCATACTTTTCTGGCAGCAGGAGAACAACTTGCAGCCATGCAGCATGATGTGAATACTTCATCTCCATCCTGTGGTTGTTATTATCCGCTTCCTCCCGTAGTCATCATCTTGATTGCTGCATCCCTGCTAATTCGGCCTTGTTGATTAGCGCTTTCTCCTTTTAGTCTACATTTGACGATACCAGCTCCGTCCCCAGGAACTTTTAGGTATCTCAGAATATTTACATTTATTTTCCTGTGGGGATATACTGGCGTGTTAATTTATTTAACCCAATTTAAAACTGAAGGAACGTATTTCCTGGGAAATAACTTTGAAAGTTCTACTTGTTATCTTCTCTTGAAATTTATTTGAATCAATATTGAAATTTTAAGTGCATGATTCCTTCATTAAAATTACATTTTTGTTTTCTTACTTGAAGATTTTATTTTGAGTTATGATGATATATAATTTTATTATATTTATCTCATTATAGTTTTTCAGACTTACTTAACTCGAACCGAATATTTTAGTAGATGAATAGCAGTCTTTCAATGTAAGAAATCAAAATAAGAACAGCTTTAATTGTTAAAAAGAAACTGAGTGTATTATTATAAAGTTTAAACTAGAAAACAATACGTTGATAATTTTAGCCGTAGTTTGATAAGTCGTTAATAACTATGTTCTGTATATCTTACATTTTTTGTCTCATGGTTAAATATTTGAAGAATACTAATATTCTGTTAATACAGTATAATAAAATATGTCCCAATTCAATTCATAAACCTCAAATTATCTAAGCATTATAATATCCTTAATATCAGAAGGTAAATGCCGACATTTTGTTTTTGTTTTTTAAACGAAAGCTTTTGCGTGATGTACACTTTAAATTTTACTAACTATTTATGCGTTCAATTTGTATTTATTCCAGTCTTTTACAAACGAGTTTACACCAAGAAGGGTCGTAGGTATTATGACGATAAATGACGCACAGAGGAAATAGTTTCTTATATCAGTTTTTCTCTTTAACAGGTTGGAGACACGTATAAATATATTCAATATTCAAATCAACAATCTACTGAAGACCCAAGCTTATTCATTTAATGTGTTCTGCTCAAAATCTGTGGAGAATATATAGAAACGATTTTTTGGTAGGAACTTCATTCTAGGATGTTTATTATCATCAATGGTTCTTCATTTCAGCTTTAAAAATCCCAACGACTATTTGTATTGTATAGGTTTGTCTGGACGTTCACAAATTAGTTCGTTTTAACCCACCAAGTTCATGTTTGAAATATTGTTGACACTAAATTTGTACAACAAAAGACAGTGTTGGGTAAGCGAACAGTTTGTATAATCATTACGACTTTCCCAAAACCATAGAACAATTATTAAGTAAATTTAGTCAACAGTTCCTTCAGCCTTAATGATACTTTAATCACAAGCTTTGACTTCTGAAGAACATTATAAATTATATGTGTGATTTTACAAAGATTTTACCCGGTATAAACATATTCTGTATACATTACAAATAATGGGTTTTTCTTGTTGTGTGAGTTATTAGGATAAGCTAGATTCGTGTCGTAATAAACTGTTATTTTAGTAGTTTGTTCGGTGTTTCTTCCCTTGTGAAACCGTAGTAGAACAGTTGGTAATTTACAAAAAATAATAAAATTAATAAATTATTTTAAACCTTGGCATATCTTGCTTTTAACGGACATGAACCATTATTGAATATGGGGTTTACATATTGTAGCATTTTCTTCTTTGCTTTCACTCATAAGCTCTTAGAATATATTAAAAGAAATATATTTAAATCTACTTCTTATAAGATGTATTATGAAATTCATTACTGACTTTGGACTAACACGTAATAATATTGTTATTTATATTAGATGTAATGATAGAAATAGTACCACATCTTCTCTAGTGGAAATATAACATTTGATACAATTGATGGGTAGAACTCACAGAAGCATTATACTTAACTAATTTCAGTCCAGTCACTTTTTGCAACTAGTAAACATGGTATATGTGACTTATGTTAGTGGAATCACTGGCGAGTGAAACATTCATATACAGTAAATATAATGGTATACAGTTTGCTTAAGCAAACGTTTCGCCATTACGGTTTCATCAGGGGTAAAATATATGTTTATACACATTTGAACTATTTCTCTTCAGTCTTTAAGGGGTAAAACTTATGGAAGAATTATAATATACTATTCCAATTAAACCTTTGACTAGTGCAAGTTGTGCTTGCACTATACCTAAATTAATTAAGTATGTTTTATTTGTTTCCATATAATGATTAACGGGTAAACCCATAAAGGCATCACGTTTGGCATTTTTTGTTTTGTTTATTATCCGGTACAACTTAACAATATAGTTAAAAATTAGTAAAGGAATCAATAATATTCGGGGTATCGAGTTTGAACAATGTCCAGATTTAAAGTAAGTTCGTAACAGTTCTATTGTACAAGGAGTACGTTCTTAAAAGATTTATATTTGCTTATCTTAACTGGAAAATGCCTTTAAAACACAAAGAATATTTATTACGAAGTTTCATCTAAGAAGTCTTCTACTACACAGAATCAATCTGTTAGGCTATTTTTTATAATCTAAATTATCACTAATATTTTGCTAACTTCGCAGCATATGTATTCAGTCATTTACATTTCCTAAACTTCTTTGAGAAAACTCACAGTTCTTATTGGAAAAACTTAAGTCGGTTTGCGTTTTTCCTTCCATTCTCCTATGTTATATTTTATATCTATATTTATGCTAAATGTGCATCTTGAAGAGAACAGAAGTTGAAGCTACAATGGTGCAACAAATTGAAAATGTCTTTTCTTATTTTTTGTGCCACATAGTTCCCTGCAATTCAGCAATGCTATATGAATAACTTCCCTGTAATATAAAAAGGACGATTTCATCGATCAAACTGGTTTTATTTCATTTTCCATTTCCATCCAATCTAAAGAGAACAATTGATTTTTTCAAAAACAAAGCTTTTTACGAAGAAATCAAAAAGGGAAAAATAATTATTTAACAATTTCTTAACTTACTAACTTAAGACTAATGTTAGTTTTGATTGAGAGAAATGCGTTTTTTGTTTCGTTTTATAAATAGCCAACAACAAGGATTCGTTGAATACTTAAGACTACAACCGAGTGTAAGTTATTTCTGAATGTATTTTGATCGTTACTATATTTCAATAACTAAAACACACATTTTAGAATTTTTAATTCTATCATTATATCAAATTCGAGCGAAAATTATCACGTATTCTGACACCGTTAGAATAACGTGCCTTGTTTCTGTATTTGTTTCAAATCTTACGCACATTTGGAACATTATTTCTTCAAATACAAATATTTGATGGTCTAAACAGAGAATCTAATAAACAGTTAGTGGTAATATTACGTCATATTAAGACTAATAATAAGTTAAAATGCATTTTTACTGGCCGAATACGAGTTTCCAGTAACAAGAATATATAACAGTATTTCAGTTTTACCTTATATGTTCTATACCGCTTTCGATGAAACCTTACGCTCAATACCAATGCTCTAAAAAGACTTGTCCGTTTATGAGAAAATAAGGCTAATCTGCAGTAGCATACTACAGACAATTTATTGTTGAAGCGTTATTGTACGCGCTTCTTACTAGAGACTCTTACGGGGCAAGTAAAGAATGACGTGATATAAATTATTATTGTTTTGTAATCGTACACACACCTTATAACATGCCCTTCTTCACCAGCAAAGGTATTCTGTACCCTATGTTAAAAGCCTTATTTTACTCATTGCATAAATTATTCGAAGAAGTGTTTACAGTTTGTAAAAATATATGATCAAAAAATAGTGTTCGTGATTCATAAATCATTAAGTTCATTTTGGTGCTTTAGCTCGCTCTAGGATCCGGGTTGCAGTCCACCTGTACCGAAACGTTGTATTAATCGAAATAAAATCAAACAATAACGAAAGGGTATAGCAACGTTTGGCTATAATTACCAGAAATGTAATGATAAAATTAACCTCCGATACTCAGAAAGTGAGAGTGACTAAATGGCTATATATACTTGGCTATAATTACCAGAAATGTAATGATAAAATTAACCTCCGATACTCAGAAAGTGAGAGTGACTAAATTGCTATATACACTTGGCTATAATTACCAGAAATGTAATGATAAAATTAACCTCCGATACTCAGAAAGTGAGAGTGACTAAATAGCTATATATACTTGGCTATAATTACCAGAAATGTAATGATAAAATTAACCTCCGATACTCAGAAAGTGAGAGTGACTAAATGGCTCATACTTTGTATCAGAAATATCACTTATACTTAAATATTAACTCATAAAATTCATACAGCTTATGCCAATACATGAGTACAGTGTTTCAAAATGGTTTGTTGTTGTTATTATTCTTGTTCTTCATCTATGGGACTACAAAGGCTTAACAGAGTATTTGAGTTAAGTGTGGTTGGCTTTTGGACTGTGGATCCGAAATTCCGTGGTTCGCGTCGCGTTACCTATCCCAAAAAGATCACGCCGTAGCTGCGTTATAAGAGCGATGGTCAGATCCCACTGTTTGATTAGAGTAGCTTGTGAAATGGCGGTGGGTGGTGTTGACTAGCTGCCTTCCATCTACGTTTCAAGCAACAGAGAAGGTTTAATAAACGCGATAGTTATTACCACCGAAAGTATACAATACTAGAATGTGCAACTGTGAGCGATCGATGTTTATCATCAAATTGAAAACATCTAAAGAGACAAAACGCATAAAGATAGCACAAAGAAAATTAGTTGTGTGATCTGCAATAGATATTTAGAGTATAAACTCGCGTTCTGTCAGAACACTTTCTCCTAATTACTACCGGATGGCTTAATACAAAATGGGATAAGATTAAGAAGTAATTGTATTTTGACTTATTCACTCATCGAAACTCTGAAACATTTTTCACACATACACTTATATTTGCCCCCCCCCACCAGTGGCACAGTGGTATGTCTGCGGACTTATACTGCCTGAAACCGGGTTCCGATATCCGTGGTGAGCAGATAGCCCTTTGTGTAGCTTTCTGTTTAATAACAAACAACAACTCTTATATTTCCATTTCAGCATAAGGGGCGCCAGAAACTACGAACTTATAAAGTGTAAGTCCTTATGAGATTTTACGACACAGTTTGAGATTCTGCATGCAATTATTATATCTAATGATAGATTAGGAAATAAGTCCAGCATTTACACAGTTTGAGATTCTGCATGCAATTATTATATCTAATGATAGATTAGGAAATAAGTCCAGCATTTCATTTGGCCAAATCAATGCATTAGCAGCAACGATTCTCGAAGGTAAAGAACCATTTTTGTCTAAATTCACTTATAAAAGCTTTTTGTATTTTTATTTACATAACAGCATTGAGAAAGCCAGGATGTTAATAAAACAGTTTTCTTGCTATGCACATAATAATTATTTGTTTATAATCTAGCTTTATACATGTATGTACATATATGATTCTTCGTGGTGTTTTTCTGCAATTTGCCAATCTAAACATCTTGCTTTTTGACCTGAAATCTTAAATATCCTTCTTAAATTGCAATGACATACTTTTTAGATTTCTAGCTCCTAAACCACGAAAATAATAATCAGTTGTCTTGTTCGACCTACTTTAAGGGTTGTAATGATGGCTCAGAATAATTGTTCTAGGTTTTCGGTAAACCTCATAGAATTTTGTCAGTAGAACGAATTTAGGATGAAGTTTAAAACTTAGCAGGCAAATTTTTCGTTTATTAGGTGTGTTTTTTCACATCTTTTGTTGGAATCATTAAAATATACAAAATATTAAAAGCACTTATATATATAATATAAAGTCTGTGTGTAATAATTCCATTTATAAAGAAACATGTTTCGAACAAACAAATTTGTGTTAGAAACATGACATGTTTTTAGAATCTACTTTGAACTCTCGTTATATTTACATTAAAACTAATTAGCAATAACCCTAACGGTTTTCGACCATTTTTGACGTTCATTTTACAAAACAAAAATCACAAAAATAATATGTTTATCTTTGAGTACCATCGGTTTCTTAATTAGTGCTGGTAACTAAAAAAACACTTCTTTAAGAAAACAAATACTGACAAAAAAATAACGGCTTTAAACATGCATAAGAATGTCATGTTTCTCACAAATTTTTATTTGTTGGAATACATGTTTCTTTATAAATGGAATTATCCTATACATGCTTTATATAATCAATATAAAACTACTTTACCCTCAAAAAAAAAGAAACGGCTTGTGTACTTGAGAATGATCACAACAGTGGTTGAAACGTGGTACCTGTTTTAAAAACAAATCTTACTTACTGGAAAAGCTGTAACTTGTAATAAAATATTGTTTGTTTTTTATTTAAACAGTTTTCATCAGTTACCTGTTTCTGAGGTTACATAATATTTAAGCAATAACACATTGTTATCAGCAAGACAATAATGATAAGACAAACATTATTGAAGTATTTGCTTTCTAGCCTGAATCAATATTTAGTAAGTATACTCCACCA